CCAGAGTGTTGACGCCTGTCTCTTCTTCTACAGTCCTCAGCTCCGAGTCTTGAGCGTTGTACCTGGTGACACATAGTATCTCGGACTTAGGCAGTAGCCATGTCTCACTTGAAGAGGGGGAAAACTCAAGTAGGAGTGATGTCACCTCGGATTGAATAGCACGTGCCCTAGCCCTTGTCATTGGTCCACTTGGAGCTTGGATAGCTGAGGTGGCGTCCATGTGGATGGTCGTGGGATGCTCCGCATCAACTAATGTCTATGGTTAGGAAACATTAACCATCTTTTAATCAACGAGCTAGTCTAGTAGAGGCTCGCTAGGGACATGGTATTTGTTTATGTATCCACATATGTATTTTAGTTTCCGGTCAATACAATTCTAGCATGAATAATAAACCTTTATCATAAATAAGGAAATATGATAATAACCAATTTATTATGGCCTCTAGGGCATATTTCCAACAAATGCTACATATTACTATGCAATGATGTGTTGCCATCCTATGATATTTGAGTAGATTCATTTTGTCCTATCGGTTGATTGATGATCGTGAGTGATTTGAGTTGTGTGTTTTATTTTGCTGCTGTCCTATGGTGCTCACCATATCGCACAAGCGTGTGGATTCCCACTGTAGGGTGCTGTAATACGTTCATGATTCTCTTGTAGTGGGTGGCGAGAGTGACAGAAGCTTATACCCGAATAAGTAGGTTGTTGCGTATGTGAGCAAAGAGGACTTGATACTTAATGCTATGGTTGGGTTTTACCTTAATGATCTTTGGTAGTTGCGGATGCTCGCTAGAGTTCCAATCATAAGTGCACATGATCCAAGTACGGAAAGTATGTTAGCTCATGCCTCTCCCTTATATAAAACTGCAATAATAATTACCGGTCTAGTTATCGATTGCCTATGGACAATAACTTTGTTGTGTGATAAAAACCTTTCTACTAAACAACTAACTTTTATTATTTTGCAAATTACTCATAGTTTTATTTTCGCTAAGTACCACTAGTTTTATTCGTGCAAACCTATCCTATCACCTACAAAATAGTTTCATACTTGTTCTAGGTAAAGCGAACATTAAGTATGCGTAGAGTTGTATCGATGGTCGATAGAAGTTGAAGGGAATATAAAATTTACCTTTAGCTCCTCATTGGGTTTCACACTCTTACTTATCGAGAAAGACTACAATTGACCCCTACACTTATGGGTTATCATACCCTCAATTAGTTGCTCTCACACTACACACGCAAAAAATTCTTGAACCTTGTCTAGTCAGTGACACCCCAACATACCACCTTGTCTAGTCAGTCACACTTTTACTTATTGAGAAAGACTACAATTGACCCCTACACTTATGGGTTATCATACCCTCAATTAGTTGCTCTCACACTACACACGCAAAAAATTCTTGAACCTTGTCTAGTCAGTGACACCCCAACATACCGGTACCTAGAGGTAGCCAAGTAGGCTGAATTTCATGGGCCGACACGTAACACGTGTGCTTGGCATGGAACTAAAAATGCAGTGCCAGGCCCGCGGCACGCCATGTGCCCTTCTCATCCTCTGAGGTGAGGCCCGCATGCCGGCACGACACGGCTCGTTCGTTTTTAGTTTTGTTTTCTTACCAAATTATTGACCCAGAAGGCCAAAAATAGCTCCAAAACTGCCATACAAATGTCATGCCGTGCCAATCCAGTTAGTTTTTTTTCAACCAACCCGGTTAGTTAATGTTCCATGCACATCCCTAGAGGTGAGGCCCACATGTCGGCATGCCACGACCCACTTACAAACGGGCCTTCCGTGCCGTGTCACGCCCATTGGCCACCTCTGGCAGTATCCCACTCAACATCCGCGATAGCTATTTCTCACTTTAAGCGAGACAATTCCTTGCTCTCGCTGAAGAACGTTTGCTCTCTTGTACGAATCGGGATTGAACCCATCGCTCCTGGCCACTAGAATAGCATGGGGTTCTTGCATATATTGCTGGGCGCAAACATACTTGACGCGAAAATATCTGGGTTTTCACTGGATTTTTTTTCCTATTTTTGTTTTTCCTTGTTCTCCCCTATTTTTGTCTGGTTTTATTTTTTCTTCTTCATTTTTTTGTTTGGCTCTCTTTTTTCTTCTCCATTTTTTCTTCGGTTTGTTTTCATTTTCATCCTACATTTTTGTATATGTAAAAAACATTTTATTAATAAGTGATCCACATTTTTTTATACACATTAAAATTGTCCAAACGCTTATTCAACATTTTCCAAATATTTGTTCAACATTTTTAATACTTATTCAACATTTTTCAAATACTTGTTCAATATTTTTCAAGTACTAGTTCAACAGTTTTTAATACTTATTCAAGATTTTTTAAATACTTGTTCAACATTTTAAAAACTTATTCAACATTTCCAAATACTTGTTCAACATTTTTCAGATACCCATTCAACATTTTTTAGTACTGATTCAACATTTTTTAAAAACTTGTTCAACATTTCTAATACTTATTCAACATTTTTTCAAATTTTTTTCAATTTTTTTAATATTTTTTCACATTTTCAAATATTTGTTCAACATTTATTATCAAATACTTGTTCAACATTTGTAATGTTTATTCACATTTGCAAATATTTGTTCAACATTTTTAGAATAATAGTTTACATTTTTTAGTACTTATTCAACATTTTCCAAATACTTGTTCAATATTTTTCAAATGTGTTTTTAAATAGTGTGTATATATATATTTAAAGTATAAAGAAAAGTACAAAGATAAAGCAAAAAACTAGAACAGAAAACAGAAGAAAAAACAAACAGGTCATGGCGTCCCGCTCGGCTTGGCCGGCCCATCTGGGGCTACCCGCGACGCGAGACTTCCCCCCTGGGCGCCCCTCAACATCGACAGTCACCACTCAACAAAAAAAACCTCGACACCCAGCAAGGAAGTACCGAAAGTACCCTTCTCTCTCCTCTGGGCTCTGTTCTCCACCCAAATCCACCCAAAACCCCTCCCCCCCCTCCTTTCGGTTCGGCGATCGGCGGCGGCGGCGATGAGCGCGGTAAACTTAACGAACGTGGCGGTGCTGAACAACCCCACCTCTTTCGTCAACCCTTTCCAGTTCGAGATCTCGTAC